CACTTATAATTGCACAAGAGGTTTGTATTTTAGCGAGTAAATTTGGGTTGTTTAGGTAATGAAAATCTGTTGCCTAGCAATTAGACGAGAAAAACTGTCAACTAATAAAAATGCGACACCGAAGGTGGAGCATTTTTAGGTTGACAGTTTTTAGAGTTCAATTGCTAAAAGGCAACAGATTTGAATTGCAACAACACAAATTTACTCGGTTTAAATACAAACCTCGAGTGTAATTCGGCAGGACAATTTAACGAACAAGAAATTCACCAAACTAATCAATTATTGACAGACGTCATCTAGTCATATGGGACAGGATAATACGATATTTGGTTCGAAAATGAATAAGTGAAAAAACCACTAGTGCATTTGTCGCTGGAAAAGTTGCAGGTAACTTTTGCCGCCGTCAAAGTGACAATTGCACTGCGGCTTATGCGATTTTTTATACATGAGTTGAATTGTCATATAAAGAGAATTGAACCTTCGTTTTAAAAGAAAATTATAATTCAAATTAGAACAAAATACATAAGAGTAAATAATATTTTAGCAATAAAATTAGCACAAACGTAAATGACTGCTTGAAATAGGTCAACATTTTGTTCACAACAAAACAACGTTTTGTTTTTGTATAGCACTCTTTGCAGAATATGAAAATTGTATTTTTAGAAAAAATGTGATACTGAACCACCATGTGTGATATATCGTTGTAAAGAGAAAAAAAACCTAATCTCAAAATGTCAAAATCCAAAACGGCGCCCATAAAAAAACTAATGTTGCCACGTGTTTCTCCGTTATCTTGAAAGTTATTATAAACGGGATGCCATATTCGAAATCTCCATTAAAAAGTGTCTGAATAATGTGTTAATTAGAAATGTCTAGTAGGTACAATTAGTTTACCTTGAAAAAGTTAAAAATGAAAATCAGAAATTTTCTATTTTTTGCCATATTTTCAAAACTATTGAAGATATTATAAATTTATTTTTAAATTATTATTCAGCACGAAAATTCGCAACTTTGCCCTAATTTAACCAAGTTTCTATCTCTTAAGTTAAGCGAGATCCCCATAGTGGTACTCGAAAAATGGACTCCGTGTATTATAGCAACCATATTTACAGTTACGCTATTCAAAGAAAGAACAATAACAAATATTGGCTTTGTTTCATTTCCAATTTAAATCTAGAGGTGGACCATGTTTTGATACTTGTGGCAACATGCCAGAGGCTAGGGGGAAACAGTACCATTTTTGGTGTACACCAAAATTTCAAATTCAAATTAATTCACGTTAATTCAAATTAATTCACGTTAATTCAAATTAATTTACATTAATTCAAATTAATTCACGTTAATTCAAATTAAGTGAATGTATACCAAAAATTCAAAGTTGTTTCCCCCTAGGCCAGAGCCCCCCCCCCTCCCCCACTTTAAAAGTTTATATTTACATATCCTTTAATAACCTTTAACACCCGACGGTAGAGGGCACACACTATTAAAGATTTAAAAGGTGTGAAATTCTCGTTTCATCATTACAAATTTGATAGTGAACCATGCCAAAATTAACTACACAAAACCAACGCTGACAACTAAAAGTTATTGTTTTACAGGGACCGCTTTCACGGTCGTCTGGGAAGAAGTGCATTTACAAGATACTCCCCAGGTGGGTTCCTTTGTATTCCAGACCACGTTATTTAAGAACGGGGATATAGTATTTGTTTATAAAAATATTCCCATTCCCGTGGAGGAAATTGTTGACGATAATCATCCTGTTAAAGTTGGGCTTTCGGATGCGTATCTTATAGATCACACCATATTCTGTAAGTATTGTTAATTGAAGTGCCAATCTGCAGTTTTTATGATTTTTAGTTGTGCGAAGGAAAACAATCTACGAATATCATCGTGTGAACTTTAGCAAGGAGGACATTAAAAATGATACGACAATTTATCTAAAAGCGCTGCCCACCTGTTTGGATAGTAAAGATTGCCATTCTTGTCTGACAACACAAATTGATAATTTTGAGGTAACTTATTACTTAATCATTATTTTTTATACATTTTTTTTTAGTGCACTTGGTGTCCATCAAACGGTCGTTGTTCGAACGGCTTAGACAGACATAAACAAGAGTGGCTCGCAAAGGGATGCGATAGAAAACAAGTTGCAAATGAGTCTCAGTGTTATCAAGTAGATACAGTTGAAGGATTAAATCACAATGACGAACATAACACTTATTATAACACAGATAAACACATAGAGGACACAAAGGTACAGAGTAATGAAAGAGGTCTGCCAAATAATCAAAATAAGAAGAAGGTGAACGATGATGACCATTCTCAAGAAACTTCGTTTAATACCGTTCAAGCGTCGAGAATCTCACAAAGCTCGCAACATATAGAACCAGATGGCGACGTTAAAATGGGCGCGTCGGGTATCATTACGATACTATTTTTGGTGTCCGTTATAACAGCATTGGCTGTATGGGTGCTGTATGCATATAGAAATCCTCATACGACCAGTGGTCAAATTCTCATTAGGGTAAGTCATTTTTAAATCTTTGTCAGATGCACTGATTTAAATGGTCTTGTTAAAATGTGCAGCATTTTCGGATATCCAAATCAAATTTGGATAATGTAAGTAGTTTTAATAACATTAGCAATTACACTGAAGAGATTGTAAAAAGTTATTGACGAATTATTCGATTTTAGTATCGACCAAGTCAATGGAGATGGAAAAGAGGTGAAGCGCGATATACTGCAGCAACGATACATATGTGAACATTTAGCTTACTAAAAAGGACTTTAGATAGACCATGGTTGTGTGTGTTTCGTACCAAAAAACGAACTAAATTTGGCAAATTAATATTGATTGTACATTCATTATAAACACAGCCTGCCACTTTACTACGAGATAAAACACCAAATTGGTTTGCTCAAACAAATTCGGTTTGAATCTTTAATCAGACGAGATAATTTTATTTTAATAATAGCAACGGTTTTATGTTAATTTACTCTACTGTGATAATCACGCTATAAATAATTAATTTTAAATCGAAATAAAAATTATAGAGTGTATCATAAAGTTTGTTTACTGTTATCTGTTAGGGTATTCTAGTATTAGAGAACTATGTTGTGAATCTGTGCAGCTTTGCTCCCTTTTATTAATCTCAATAATTGTGCACTATTGATTGATATGTTAATGTTGTTTCTATCTAGCACAAGTGCCTTAATTATATTGTATGTTCTAATTCTAAAAGCAATGTTTGAAGAATCTAAATCACGGCAATAATTTCGAATCTTGATTGTTAACTATTGATAATCAATTTTATAGCACGGTACCTTTGACTTATTCTACGAAAATCATGACTATGTAAATAAAAATTTATATTCTGTAGTGTCTCAAAATGTAGTTCTATTTTATCATCCTCGCCATTCTTTCCTTGTTTTTGAGTTTTTCTTTTTTGTCTCCGTCTCCTCATGTGTTGGTCCAAGAGTAAAAAATAAGATATCCAAGATTTAAACTAAAAAAAAGTAAGTATTCAGAAAATTGTAGGAGTAAGTGTTAGGGCATGGACAGAGACACTTAAATATTAGAGCCATACAAATAATGTATGATCTGGGTCAGAATTTTAAAATCATAATAGTAAAGGAAGGAATTATAAACAGAAAGGGGAGTAGACGAAGGAGAAGGATGAAGATGATAGACGATTGCAATTAAGAGAAAGGCGAAGTTGAGGAAGAGCACTAGGACCTGTGCTGATGATGATGGACTTTAACGAGGTTTCATGGGTTTTTAAGAGATTATTATGAGTCTGTATAAGAGACGCCACTAATCTCAAATGAAGCTTATTTGAAATGCTGAAAAAGCCTAGAAGTCTATAGTGCCATTGAGACGTTTTATGAGCCTTTCAAAATTTTCCGTAAAAGCTTTGAGAGACCTTTTAAGATTTATTAAAGGTTACTAAGGTTCTTTTTCAATGAGATATTATTCTACTTGAGTGTAAACCAGAGTCAATTTTTTTCCATAATTTTGGTTTATATGCATCTGAACATCCTATAAAGTATATTTCATGAGTGTGAAACTACTTATACATTATAGAAAAAAAATTACAAAACCAAAACACTTTAATTAATTTAAGACGGATGGTTTATCATGCAAGATGAGGAAGAAAAATTGTGTTTTCCAAAAGAATACGAAAGATCCTGCATTAGTTCAAACTCATGAATCAACTGACACAACTATGTCATGTGTATATGAACTAACACCACAGCTTACTATCAGTAAGCTGTGCTAACACACTCTAGCTCTACGATAAAGACAGACGGACAAAAGTGTCAGCATTACTGTAATTGTGTGGTATCACAGTCTACTTTCTACAAGACTGTGTTGTTGTTTCAAAGATAGTACTACACATTATCTTTTTAATTTTTTATATACGACTGCTTGATAATGCGGTGATTACAGTCGCAATTAATGGCCATAATTTGCAATATTATGGCCTAGTCCATAATGATAAAGTGAAACAGCCGCCTGTCAATGTGACAATCGTACCAAAGAGGTCGTACTTAGGTGTGAATCCAAGGTAAATTCAAGTATTTTAGAAATACTTGACAAATGCTTTGCATATGTTGTCAATGATACATAGATTTTATCGTTTATTGAATTCCATGAAATTTTCATTTTTAAGGGTTGTTGCAGTCGTACATAAAGCTTTGTATATATCGCGTCCATAAATAGGCTTCATGGGGACTCGCCTTGTTTATTTGTGCCTCGTTCGCAAGCTCGCTCGGCTAAATAAACAGCTCGTCCATAAAGACCCAATTTATGTATATAAATAGGCTATTATCAAAGAGTATATTCGTTGTATACTCTTTGCTATTATTCAATACTTTGGTTTGTTTGAACAGCGCTATAAACGAATAAATGTACGAACACTTTTTTAAATGATTGCCATTAGATGGCGACAAGTGTTCTCTGTTAATGTTATCGGTATCTACTTTTACCATCGCTGTAAATGAAAAATGTCCGTTATTTTAACTTGATTTTATTTTCAAACATTTTTAAAGTTTTTAATTATAATAAGCATGTTTTCTCGTTTGACTCTGTAATTAACACAACGTGAAGTAAGCATGGATTCTTCATTTGTATTGCTAAGCTCAATGTCTCCAATAATCAACAAAACAACCAGAAATGTACATGTTTCCAGTAAGTTTGACTCAAATTTAATTTAAATCAGATTTCTAACTAAAAACTACAGCTCCTAGATTATTGGCATTAAGAAGAAACATTCGAAGATCATCACATATTGACAACTTACGAAAATCACTGCCGTTTGCCGATACTGTGATATCCATCGAAAGCAGTACCACAGAGACTGTCAGTAGTGGACACTCGAAGCCCAATTTTATAAATTCTAGTCCCATAGTTATATCGGATTCGGAGGCCGAGAAGGATGTCATTGAAAGGAAGTCCAACGAAAGGGTTACTTTTGATAAAACAAAATTTTTAACGATTAGCGATTGGGTTAGAGATGTTAATTCGCAAAATCACATCACTCCAAATGACGCAGCCACAACATGTGGTTCATTTAACTTTAACAAGGTTTTGCATAGCTTGCCCAATCCTGATAGCTTTAAAGATCGACACAATACTAAGTCCGACTGTCTTAGTATCTCGTCTAGATCTCAAATATCGGATAGTTCAAACGAATTTCAGACGAAATTATTAGATGAGCTATACAGTGATACGTGGCGAAATTTAAAAAGTGACGTTCTGCCTAAGTCTGCACCAAATAGTACAAAGAAAAGTAGTACAAAAACAAATCCGTAAGTTAAATTTCGTTCAGTTTCCGTTCATGTCATTCATTTTTAGCAAAGTAAGGGACCACAACCAAGTTTTAATTTCTCCGTGGACTAAGTTTGTTCGAGACGTACACGATTCAGATAGCTCAGAGGATAAAGAAGAGACGCGCAGAAGTGGTAATGCTGGAAGTAGTAAAAGGTCCAATATTTCAAAGGGCAGTAACCGACGGGCCGAACAGAGTGTAGGAAACAATCAATCACCAAATGGATTCAAAACACCTCGAAATACTAAGCCTGTATGTCGTAGCACATCATCACAATCGCATAGTTCTACTGAATTTTATTGCGGTATTATACCAAAGTCTCTGCCGAATAGTAGAGGGGTGGATCTGTAAGTTTTACCGTGTACCCAAGGGGTTAGCCACTTAAGGAAACACATCACATTTACTTAACATTTACCGCAGCTGCCAGTAAAATGAAGATGTTTAATGGGTTACGTAGCCCAAGGCCTAGGTCAGGGGTTGGCAACCTGCGGCTCTTTTGATATAAAGTTGCGGCTCTCCGTATTTATCTAAAGAAATTAGTTCATTTGTTCGAAATTCGCCTTTTTAATTACTCTTATTTGTTTACGAAATCAAAAGTACACTTGCAGCAATTAATTATCTAATTTTTGACACTTTTTTACTTTCTGGTATTCTTTTGTTTTTTTATTATAGCAGCCTACTTCGATGTATAAACATATAATTAATTAATGAGTAGGTACTTTTGTTAAAAATATTGAATAACATAAAAACTGTGGGGTTTAAGCACAGGGCACCCCTTATAAACATTGAAGAGAACACAAAAGACAATCAAATAGCGAAATAAAATAGTGGTAGTTTCAGTTGAAAAAGAATAGTTATAGCACTTTGAACAAATGGCATGGAAACAAGTAAAAATATGCAGGATGTTCTATTTAAAAAGATCAGTTATTTATTGACGTCGTCTGTACATTCAAAAATAATTTCTGTAGATCTGTAACCACGAATATTTTTTACCAGGTATCAGCTATGTAGGAAAAACCGACGCACTGTTGCAGGACTCTGTATATAGCCAACTACTATAATATTGAATGAAAAATTTTTTGTGGCTCTTTAAAAACTGGGAAATTTTGTAAATTGTAATTTTTGGCTCTTCCGTTTCAATAGGTTGCCGACCCCTGACCTAGATGGGTAATTGATGCCCACCCTGAATAAATTGTTTTTCCTCTGGTACCCATACAATTTTTTTATATTATTTGTTTTTGGTCTTTATTTATAAGTGGGCGTGGTTCAGCCAAGGTACAACCCGTGTCACTAGACATTTACAAATATCCATTCCCAAACCAGGGACCCTTAGTACCACAGTCTAGCTTCACCTCCACTGAGCCACACGAGTCGGCATACTACCCGATCTAAGAGCTATATGAGATCTAGAGATTATATTGTAATTAAATAGGCAGTATCATCCTAGACTAAAATAGAGACACTCAGTTCTTCAAATGACGGGCAAAGATGGATCATGAGAGGGAGATACTTACTGTAGTACCTATTACAGTATTTATATGTTAACTTTTAAAAGTTACAAGAACAATCCAAAATAACTCATTTCTTCCCTTTTGCACCATAGTGGCGCCTTTAGATTACACGCTCCTGATTATTAAGGAATTTCCAAAAAATACTGTAATTTCATAGGAAATCTTGGTTCAAAAAAGGAATTTCCAAATATTTCAAAAATAATCCTAATACTTATTTTGAGTGTTTCGAAATGTATTTCCTGATCCTTTTTTGTGTAAATAATAATAATAATAATGACATTTATTGAGCACACATTATACAAAGAACAGATATTATACATTACATTACATAATGGGTGACTCAATAGGGCGAAGTTCAGACTGGAATAAACCGTGTTATTCCGTCTGCTCTACCACTGAACCCCCTACATATGAAATTAAGGCTGGGATTGCCTGAAAAGAGAAGTACCCATAGTAAAGGACAAAGTTTTTTTCGTTAGAATGTGCTGGTACCTAATAATGAATAGCGTAACTACAGCAGTTTTCTATACAAATATTTAAATAATTATACTCTCTTTAAGTGGGCCCCAAACAACACAGAGGGTGCTTTAAAAAAATGCAATTTGATTTGCATAACCACACGACAAGAAGATACAAAGCACAAACGCAAGGTCGTTCACGGCTCCTTACAGACTGCTAGGTTAACAAAATTATAATTAGCAGAGAGCTAATTATAATTTTGTTAACCTAGAGACCGCACATAACTTGAGGAGAATAATGAACCGCTTGTAACGTAACGTATGAAGTAAAAATCGCGTAATTATTGGCATGGGGCACTTTCAAAATTAAGGTCGTAAAATTGGTTCACAAGTGGCGACAGGGGCTTTTTGTTTGGAAGGGCCCTCAGTAAAACGCCGACAATTCTAAGAAAACACCTTTGGAAATTCAATTCTTTTTCATTGTTACCATTGAATAAAGAGGTTTTTATTCAATGTCATTACGAAGTGTGTTTGTTATACTTATAACGATCCTAGTGCCTATTCAAATAACAGGTAACGAAGACTTTGTAACTAACGAAATGTTATTACAGTAAAGACGCTTTTGACTTTTAGGACTTGGAAAAAGTTCAACCATATTTTCGTTTTTTTTGTATTTTTCTCTGAAACGGTAGGGAAATTTCGAATTAGAACAAGCAAAAGCTTTTATGGAGAATGCATTTTTGTCAAAAAGTAAGTATAGTAAAAGTTTTTCTTCTAGTAAAGTCAATCCGGGGACATACGGTATACCGATTTTTTTAAAAATTATTTAGCCGTTTATACCTAAATATACATTATTGTTCCCCATGTCTTACATTCGAGGGATGGTCTTTTGTAAATTAGTAATTGGCAAGCTGATTCGAATTCGAGGGCCACCATGGGTATCTCGGGAACTGTAAGAGATAGGTAGGTGGTAAATTTGGCAAAGTTGTGTATTTTGATGCTTAACAAAAACAGTTTTGAAACTGAAATTCTGACTACTTTGGGAGATATCCGGAAAAAACGAGATTTTGAAAATCGTTTTTGTTTTTTACTGAATAGTTATTTACAAAGATATTTAATAATAAATGACACATTATTATGGCCACTTTTTTCCCTCTACAAGATGCTACTTTTAAATTTGAAGTTTGACGTTTCGTCTCCGGTTAACTATTGTCAACTTTGTTTCTTACGGAAGTAATTTTTACTTTTTGTGTAATTTGATAGAGAATTTTTTTCTGATTTCAAAAATGTACACATCAATTTTTTTAATGCTTGTAAAATATCTTTTTTGCCTTTGTCTTAAGTAATTTACGTAAGTAGTTTCTTGCGTTTTTACGAATTAACGTTATTTCTTATTAAAAATAGATGATGTTACCATCAAGGGTAACTTTGTCAAATGTAAACTACCTATCTCTTAACAGTTCCCGAGATCCACATGGTGGCCTTTGAATTTGAATCACCCTGTATGGGTCAATTATTACACATTACACTAAACTGACTAAAATAATACTAATATGTAACAGGTACTATCATTGAATAAAGAGCTTTATTCAATGGTACTATTGAAGTTCAAAAAATGTAATTTCACAAGTAATGGATTATAAATTAATCGGTATTTTTAATTCATCGTCCATGAACTTGGCAGGCCTACTACAGCAGACCGTGGTTCTGCTTACTCATATCGTTAGTGCTCCGTTAGTGCACGTTAGTGCCACTGAAGAAATCGTTAGTGCACAAAAGGAAACTTACTATTTTAAAAAAATATTTGTGGGCCTGCTAACTTCATGCGAGCAGACCCATTTGAGAAAATCGATTCAATGTTTTACACTAGTTAAACTAGCAGCGTTAGTGCTTGTTAGTGCCGCCAATATAAACGTTAGTGCTCAAAGTGTAACAGCTCAAAACGTTGTAAAAAGGGGTCTGCTAACTTCATGCANCTATTAAGGCTGGGATTGCCTGAAAAGAGAAGTTCCCATAGTAAAGGACAAAGTTTTTTTCGTTAAAGGACAAAGTTTTTTTCGTTAGAATTAGAATGTGCTGGTACCTAATAATGAATAGCGTAACTACAGCAGTTTTCTATACAAATATTTAAATAAATTACTCTCTTTAAGTGGGCCCCAAACAACACAGAGGGTGCTTTAAAAAAAATGCAATTTGATTTGCATAATCACACGACAAGAAGATACAAAGCACAAACGCAAGGTCGTTCACGGCTCCTTATAAACTGCTAGGTTAACAAAATTATAATTAGCTCTCTACCGCACATAACTTGAGGAGAATAATGAACCGATTGTAACGTAACGTATGAAGTAAAAATCGCGTAATTATTGGCATGGGGCACTTTCAAAATTAAGGTCGTAAAATTGGTTCACAAGTGGCGACAGGGGCTTTTTGTTTGGAAGGGCCCTCAGTAAAAAGCCGACAATTCTAAGAAAACACCTTTGGAAATTCAATTCTTTTTCATTGTTACCATTGAATAAAGAGGTTTTTATTCAATGTCATTACGAAGTGTGTTGTTATACTTATAACGATCCTAGTGCCTATTCAAATAACAGGTAACGAAGACTTTGTAACTAACGAAATGTTATTACATGAAGATTTCGTTGTAACAAAATCGACCAATTCGTAGAAGAGAGCAACATTCCCCATTGCAATATCGCCTTCGTTGTTAATGGACTTCGAAACAACACGTAAGTTCCTTTGTTTACATTATCCTTCGTAACTTTACCATATTCTAGTAGCCGCCGTGCCTACGTCAACCATATTCAATAGAAATTCATTTCCTTTGTGCTTTTTATAATAAACACGTTTATTTTTGTGTCTGTATTCTTTCATTCCCAGCATTTTGACTTTTAGGACTTGGAAAAAGTTCAACCATATTTTCGTTTTTTTTGTATTTTTCTCTGAAACGGTAGGGAAATTTCGAATTAGAACAAGCAAAAGCTTTTATGGAGAATGCATTTTTGTCAAAAAGTAAGTATAGTAAAAGTTTTTCTTCTAGTAAAGTCAATCCGGGGACATACGGTATACCGATTTTTTTTAAAATTATTTAGCCGTTTATACCTAAATATACATTATTGTTCCCCATGTCTTACATTCGGGGGATGGTCTTTTGTAAATTAGTAATTGGCAAGCTGATTCGAATTCGAGGGCCACCATGGGTATCTCGGGAACTGTAAGAGATAGGTAGGTGGTATATTTGGCAAAGTTGTGTATTTTGATGCTTAACAAAAACAGTTTTGAAACTGATATTCTGACTACTTTGGGAGATATCCGGAAAAAACGAGATTTTGAAAATCGTTTTTGTTTTTTACTGAAGTTAATAGTTATTTACAAAGATATTTAATAATAAATGACA